ATCAGGCGCGGTGTATTTTGGAAATAGGTTCTCAAGAGTTGCTATGCATTCAAGGTACCTTGGGTCACTTGTACTGACGGCTTGAGAGCACTGAGAACACTTATGGGACTTCTGAACATGCTGTGTAACGCACTGTAAAGACATAAATATTTGGTCGCTATGATGTACCAGTAATCCCAAACTAAGGGATGAAAATAATTTTATTTTAGCAAATGTCATTGTTATTTTTCATGATTTCTCTTGATAGGTAATTTTTTTTTTTGCCAAACGTTTTCTATTACTCGGTTCTGTTGCTCATTTTAAAGTGTGAAAGCGGTGCACCATGGGTAATGAATTTGCTTAATTTACTTGTCAAACATTTTGAACGTTTTATTTCCGACGTTTAATCTCCGAACACTTGTTATCTCATTTCGATCAAAAAATTCCGACACTTTGCTGAAAATTTGGTTATAACGTCACCATCCGAGCTAGCGCCGTCCGCACAGACTCTGGGGGAGGGGGAAGGGAGTCTCAAGGCGCTTCAAGATAACGTAACCCGAGCCGGGGAGCTCAAGAATGCCATCTTTTCCTGGCGGGATATCGTGCGTACGTCGCTTTTGGGGAGCCCGCGTTTACAGTGGGAAAGAGAAAGGTTTTTTTTAGCGAAGCGATTGTTCACGAAACAGAAGTTTCCCATTTAAGAAAAGAAAACTAATTCCGGTTGTTGCGTCAACAAACAATAGCGGAACTGATTTTACGTTTTCAAGACAGGGTTCAACTGAAGCAGAACGTAAAAGAGAACGGCAGAGAGCAAGAATTAACAGGCAAAAAGTAGCCAAGAAGATCGCGAAAGGAGGCGAAACAGTATTTTACCACAATTACTTTTAATCTCGCAATCTGATTGGCTAATTTACCGTTGTCGATAAGAGTCCAGACAACGGTACTCGGGTCAATGTGTCACGCTCTTGGTCGCGCTCTGAAAAAAACAATTTCCTTGACGTTGATATTGTGGTAAAAATCAAATCGAATGTGGTTTAACGTTGTCTGTACTCTCATCGATAACGATAATGTATGCGTCATCACAGTGGTCAAAATGTGTTGTACACTCACTCAGCTGCACCTCTTGAGTCGACAACGTTTGACCACTGTGATGACACATACAGTATCGTTGTCTATAAGATTGCAGACAACGCGAAACCACTTTCGATTTAACAAATTGACGTCAGTTTTTCATGCGTCTGTCCTCTTATCGATGATCAATTGCGTCATAACATTGTCAACGTGGCTGTGGAACCACGAACCGCAGGCGAGTGATTCTGCAGCTTTTTGATTGGCTACTTAAAAAAGTCACTAAAATCTCATTGGTTAAAAAGTTGACAGTTTGACAGCTGAAAGTTGAACTTGAAAGCTTGCATAAATTAAAATTTTATACGTCAGTAATTCCGTCAGTTTAACAAATAGGTTCCATGTTGCCGTACGTCTGTTCAGTAATAGATCACAGATAACGTCAAAATGTGGTAAGAACAAAAAAGTGGCACACGAGGCGACAGCCGAGTGTGTC